GCCTTTAATCCCAGCACTTGGGAGGCAGAGGCAGGCGGATCTCTGTGAGTTCGAGGCCAGCCTGGTCTACAAAGCAAGATCCAGGAAAGGCGAGAAAGACACAGAGAAACCCTGTCTCGAAAAACCAAAAACCAAAACCAAAAACAAAGAGTGTTTATGCTGATGCACATGGGGTTGATCAGAAGTCTCTTGAAGAGAAGAGTTGTGTATATGGGTCATAGAGCAGAGAGAGAGCATTCTACATTGTACATACAAAGAACCTGAGGCAGTAAAAAGTCTTTCCTTATATTTCTAGATAAATACAAGGACCTATCCAGCAGATATTATAGGAGTATATTTTATGGGAGTAACATTATACTAGGTTCTATGAGAAATACAATGATAAGCAACATGTGGTTCTTTGCTCCATTTCCTGTTAGTGCATGGCAGAAAGCCAGGTCATCTGCTCAGGTGGTTTGTGGTGTACAAGAGGTCCAGTCTTGCCTATCTTGCTCACTCACACTTTTTCAAGATGGGTTGTTCTAGGTGCTAGAGAGATCACGATTGTTAAGGTTCTCAGTAGACTGGGATATTTTCACACCCAGTGTGTGTTTTATAGTCTAGTCCTAAGCCTAAGGTAGACAAATACCTTCCTATAAATATTTTTTGAATGTATTAGTTAGCTGAATTCACGAAGCTCAGTACTAGATTTCTACCTTAGCTGAAATATTTGAAGTTAGAGAAATAGTGTTTTTTTTTAAAGATATTGTCAGTTTTAATGACTTCAATTTAATTTACTGATGCTGTGCTAAATAATGCTAAACGCTCTTGTGACTTTACTAGATAGTAAAATGACATTAGGGAAGGACTTGGTGGCCAGGATCCCAAAGCCCAGCAGCATTAGTATGCGTTTAGATCATCAAGTGTTCCAGAGAGCTGCTGTTTTCCTGGACAAGAAGGAAGTAAAGACAATTTTTATAGTTGCCCCAGCAAGGAGGAGACAGAACTATCAAGAGAGGCAAAGACAAAGGGATCTTAGGATTCAAAGGTTGAAGGATCATATTTGACAAAAGGGTTCATGGAAGGGCTTCCCAAAGGAAGAGCAGTGTAAGGTGATTCTTAGAGAATTGATAGGAATTTAACACGGAGATCTCAGGTGAAGGGCGTTCAAGACAGAATGAGCAAAAGCCAGGGGCAGGGAAAAAGGGAGCATAATCAGGTCATGGGACTCATGCTGTGTGTAAGTGTTCGATGGGATGGAGTAGGGGGAGTAAAGCTGATGCCTTAAATAGAGGAACTCAGGCTAAGGCCACATGATGGAGTAAAATTGTGGACAACCTCATGATTGGTGAGGGGGTCTTAGTATAATCAATTTGGGAATAGACTGTAGAATCAGTAGTCCTTTCTAGACTCTGTCAGCAGAATCAGGGTGTACAGTCAGCCTGAGGGGTTCACTGCATCCACCATTATAGTCAGTCAGCTTCTGATATTGTTTGCCAATTATAATTAGTGCAATATTCTTGAACTAAAAGGGCCAAGGCAAGTTCTAAATGGGGTAACTGAAATGGCTACTTTGTGCAGCCAAGTTTGTATTCACAATGTTTGATCATGATATATATAT